TCGTGATCCTCCCGTCTCGGCCTCCCAAAGTGCTGGGATTACAGGCTTGAGCCACTGCGCCCGGCCCATTTCTACATTTTTAAGGTGGGAGCTTAGATTATTGGTTTCAAATCTTTCTCCGTTTTTCTTTTCTTTCTTTTTGAGACAGAGTCTCGCTCTGTCACCCAGGCTGGAGTGCAGTGGCACAATCTCAGCTCACGGCAACCTCTGCCTCCTGGACTCTAGTGATCCTTCCGCTTCAGCATCCCAAGTAGCTGGGACTACAGGCACGTGCCACCACGCCTGGCTAATTTTTGTAGAGACGGGTTTTGCCATTGTTGCCCAGGCTCATCTCCGGCTCCTGAGCTCAAGCAATCTGCCCGCCTTGACCTCCCAAAGGGCTGGGATTACAGGCAGGAGCTACCGTGCCACCCTCTCCTTTTCTAATATAGGCATTTAAAGCTATACATTTCCCTTTAAGCACTGCTTTAGTCGTATTCCATAAATTCCTGTATGTTGTTCTCATTTTCGTGCAGTACTTTCTAATTTCCTTTGTGATTTATTCTTGATTCATGACTTATTTAGAAATGTGTTAAATTCTGGCCGAGCCCGCTGGCTCACGCCTGTAATCCGAGCACTTTGGGAGGCCGAGGCGGGTGGATCACCTGAGGTCAGGAGTTCAAGACCAGCCTGACCAACATGGTGAAACCCCGTCTCTACTAAAACTACAAAAATAAGCCGGGTGTGTTGGCAAGCGCCTGTAATCCCAGTTACTCAGGAGGCTGAGGCAGGAGAATTGCTTGAGCCCAGGAGGCGGAGGTTGCAGTGAGCCGAGATCAGGCCATTGCACTCCAGCCTGGACGACAGAGCGAGACTCTGTCTCAAAAACAAAAAACAAAAAACAAAAAACAAAAACAAACAAACAAAAAAAAAACAAACGAAACGAAACAAAAATGTGTTAATTTCTAAATATTTGTGGGTTTCCCCAATTTCATTCTCTTGTTGATTTCTAGTTGTTATAGTAAGAAAATATATTTTGTAGAATTTAAGCCCTTTAAAATTTTTTGAAACATGTTTTATGGTCTAGCATAGATCTATGCCTGGAGTGTGTTCCATATGTATTTGAAAATAATGTGTACTCTGCTGTTGTTGACTGCAGTGTTCTATTGATGCCAGCTAGGTCACATCAGGTTTATGGTGTCCAAGTCTTCTATATCCTTGATGATTTCATTTCCAGTTGTTCTACTAATTCCTGAGAATGGGTTATTGAATTCTCCAACTGCTATTTCTGAATTGTCTATTTTTCCCTTTGTTTCTGTCAGATTTTTGCTCTGTGTGTTTCGAGGCTCCTTTGTTAGAGGTGTGTGTATATATATACACATATATATATATGTGTGTATATATATATACACACACACACACACACATAGTTTTATAAATATATATTAAATATATTTTTAAATAAAATAAACATTTATATAAAATTTTATACATTTATATAAAATTTAAAAATATATTTTTCTGATGAATTGACCATTGTATCATTATAAAATGACCCTTTTGTGTTTAGTAACATTTTCCAACTAAATTTCTATTTTGCCAGAAATCAGTATAGCCACTCCAGCTCATTTATGTTACTCTTTGCATGTTAGATATTTTTCTATCATTTTACTTTCAATGTATTCGTAACTTTGAATCTAAAGTGTGGCTTTTATAGGTAGCATACGGTTGGATCCTCTCTTTATCCTAATTTGAGAGCCTCTGCCTTTTGATTGGAGAATTTAGTCAATTTATTTCTGGTATAATTATTGATATGGTTAGATTTACATCTGCCATTTTGAGATGTTTTCCTTAGTTCTTATATCTTTTTTGTTCTCTTTTTTTTTTTTTTGTTAACTAGATATTTTATTTTATTTTTTATTTTTGAGACAGTGTCTTGCTCTGTAGCCCAGGCTAGAGTTCAGTGGCACTATCATGGCTTACTGCAGTTTCTAATTCCTGGGCTCAAGCGATCTTTTTGCTTCAGCCTCCTGATTAGCTGGGACTACAGGCATGTACCACCACACCTGGCTATTCAATACATAAAGACACCAAGTCTTTATCTATTAAACGCAACATGTGGACATCCTCAGAGACAGTTTCTAGTGGACTGGTACTTTTTTTTTCCTGTGTATGGACCAGAATTCTCTGTGTGTGCAGTTTGTTTTGCATGTCTCATAATTGTTAAAAAGTTGACACTATAGATAATATATTTTAGTAATACTGGATTATGATCCCACCCTCCACAGTTATTATTTTTGCTGTTGTTTTTTGTTTAGGGACTTGTGGGGACTAATTCTGTAGTTTTTTTCTTCCCTCAGTGTGCAACTACTGATGTCTCTTAGTTTTTTTTTTTCTTTTTTTTTTTAGACGGAGTTTCACTCTTGTTGCCCAGGCTGGAGTGCAGTTGTATGATCTCCGCTCACTGCAACCTCCACTTCCCAGGTTCAAGAGATTCTCCTGCCTCAGCCAGCCATGTAGCTAGAATTACAGGCATGTGCCACCACACCTGGCTAATTTTGTATTTTTAGTAGAGATGGGGTTTTACCATGTTGGCCAGGCTGGTCTCGAACTCCTGATCTCAGGTGATCTGCCTGCCTCAGCCTCCCAAAGTGCTGGGATTACAGGTGTGAGCTGCCACACCTGGCTGGTTAGTTTTTAAATAATTCTTTCTGTTTTTATACCTGGCTTCCTTGGGGTCACCTGTGGGTCTGCATAGCTTATTTTTATCCAATGATTGCTTAAAAGTTGTGGTTATACACCTCAAACCAGTATGGCTTCCACTAAGGGGGTAAATGTGTGAGTTTGAGTACACATATTAAGTTCAGGCTGCTTGTAAGCCTGTGCTGGCATTCATTTCAGCTTGCATAGGGTCTCACATTCATCCAGGGACCTGATATTTTGTGGTCATGTACACAGCCTTCCACATCCTCATGCATATGCGTGGGCTTATCAATTCCCACTATTGCTGTCTTATTTTCCATATCCCCTTAATTTGTTGTCTGGTCTGCTGCTCACCCAAACAATGCTGCAGCCTCAGGCAGTTGTGAGGTTGGCCTTCCCCAGTTACTTGCTACCAACATTGTTGTTGTTTTTGACAATACCCCTAAGCATGGAGCTTTTCTCTGGAGCTCAGAGTTAGGTCAGCTCCCTCCATTTCCAGTGAGGCTTCCATTCCTCATGGCTACCATGCCCACAGAGCTAAGGACGGGAGCAGCTCCAAGTAAATGCCACAGACCCCACTATTCTTATCAAGGTTTGGTAGTTTTTCCATCAATAAACACTTTTCAATTTGACACATGCTTTTGGTGAATTGCCAGTGTTCTAAAATGCTCATTTTTGACCCTTTAAAAAATGTTTTATAGTTGCTTTTGGGGGAGGGGTTTTGATGAGCTCCTCACCCTACCATTCCAGAAGCTCTACCTCTGGACAAGTGATTGTTTTTTTCTTTTTTAAGAGACTGGGTCTCACTCTGTCACCCAGGCTGGAGTGCAGTGGTGTGGATCATAGCTCCCTGCAGCCTCTAGCTCCTGGGCTCAAGCGATCCTCCCACCCCAGCCTTCTGAGTAGCTGTGACTATAGGCATGCACCACTACGTGGCTAATGTAAAAAAATTTTTTTTAGAGACAGGATCTTGCCATGTTGCCCAGGCTGGTCTTGAACTCCTGGCCTCAAGTGATTCCCCCCTCATCAGCCTTGCAAAACACTGGGATTACAGGCATAAGCCACCATGTCTGGCCTGGACAAGTGACTTTTGACAAAAGTCAAAATATTGAGAAAGGGTATTTTTAAACAAATGGTGTGGAAACATTTGAATATCCATAAGCAAAAACAAAACAAAAACAAAAAAGAACTTGGATCCATATTTCACACCATATAACTCAAAATAGATGCCAGACCTGGATGTAAAACTTAAAACCTTTGGAAGAAAACACAGGAAAAAAAATCACTGTAATCTTTGGTTAGGCAAGGATTTCTTAGATACAGCACTCAAAGCACAACCCAGAAGTGAACAAATGGAAAGACTGGACTTCATCAAAATGAGCAGTTGTGTTCTTCAAAAGGCACTCTTAAGAGAATGAAAAGACAATCCAGAGACCGGGAGAAAACCTTTGCAAGGATAATGGACTGATAATGAAGTTATACCCAGAATATATTTTTAAAAACTCTCAGTGTTCAACAGTAAAAAAACAACCCGGTTGATAATGGGCAAAAGATTTGAACAGACACTTCATCAAAGATTCTCAATAAAAGATGATCAATATTATTAATCATTAGGGCAATGTAAATTAATATCACAATATCACTTCACATGTACTAGGATAGCTATAATAAAAAAGACTGATAATAATAAGAGTTGGTAAGGATGTGAAGAAACCGGAACCCTCATACATTGATAGAATGTAAAATGGTACAGTCATGTGAGGAACAGGCCTAGGTCTCAGGTCTCAGCCATCACTCATCTAACCTGGGGAGATACTACAATGGTTTGGAGGACAAGAAAATAAAAACGAAAATCTGTTTGGAGGACAAGAAAAAAAAAAAACGAAAAACGAAAACTGACATATCACTATATGCCCACCACTAATAGCTATAGTAAAAAAGATGGAAAATGCCAAATGTTGGCAAGTATGTGGAGCACTAGAACTCGCATACTGTGTTGCTGGGAGTGTACATTGGTACAACCACTTGAAAACTGGTTTTATAACATATAGCTGAACATATGGATACACTTAGGTACATACCTAACAGGAATACACACATATGTTCACCAATACACAGCAGCACAATTCCTAATAGTCCAAGCTGCAAACAACCCAAATGTCTACAAACAGTAGAATGGATAAATTATATTGCAGCATATTCACAGAATGGGATACAACATGACAATGAGAATGAATTATCTACAACTATATGCAACATATGGATGACTCTCACATACATAATGTGAATGACAGAAGACAGATGCCAAAGAGTATATTGCTCAATTATATGATATATAATTGTTTGGCTCAATTTATATAAAATACAAAACAGGCAAAATGAATCTATGCTGTGAGAAGCCATGGTAGTGTATACCCTTGGGGGCTTGCCCGGAAGGGAAAGTGGGGAAGGCTTCTGGGGTGTGGTCATGTTCTGTTTCTTGACCTGAGTATGTTCATTTTTGAGACTGCATTGAGCTGTATGTTTATGATATATGCATTTTCTATATACAGTTTAATAAAAATATTTTAAAATAAAATAAAAATACAATTGCATGCTAGAAAGAAAGTTCCTTTTTATGAGTGTTGTAAAAAAAAGTTTAAGGGAAAATGAGAAAGTGTCTATATATCAGTGTTAAAAAAGAGCAGTGATCTTTCTTGAGAAGTCTTCCAGTTATTCAACTATGATAAACTGTAATTATGTTTTAGAATAACTAATTGCAATGCAACGTGACTTTATCCCATAGCAGTCTACACAAAGCTACCCTTAATGTGCATGTAGGAAATGAAATGAATATACCTTAACCAAATAGGAAGAAAAACAAAATATTAGGAAGTGAAACCTAATTTTTCAACCATTCTTTTTCAAACAGGAATCCCAAGGAAAGCAGGGGTGTTGGTGGGTGAGCCTGAAAATCTAGAGCGCTGTGGATCAGTTCCATTGTTGTAGGGTCAGTTACTGAGGGGATAAGGAATCTATGGCCTGCAGCTTATGCAAATGACAGCTTTGGGGAAACAGGTTAGAAGGCATGCATACCTCTTATAGGGTATGACTCACCTGCTCTCCCAGCAGGGGATTAATAATGAGATAACTACTACCTTTATATGTCTGTATCATTCAATGACTATGTTTCTGTAACACAGGCTAGAGCTAGGCCTAATTTCCCAATTCATAAAGTTATACCTTTAAATTTAAAAATTCTGTTGCACTTAAAATACATATACCATGAGGACTTCCCAAGGGAAGGGAAAAAACAGTTTTTCATGGGAATCTTTTCTGTGACTGAAGTGCCAATGATCACAAAAACAGATATCTGCATTCCCAAGTAGATTTCCTGCCTTGATGTCAGTGCCCTGCCAGTGTTTGGACAATGAAAACTCTTCTCCCCAACCTAGAAATTTGAAAAAGTGTTTCCCAGTAGTGAGTACTTTTATGTCCCCGGATATGCTGAACTAATCAGTACTGAATTTAAAAAGTTCTTTATCCAAAAAGTGAAGCATAGGAGATGACAAGTCATCTCCTCGGGTCTTCATTCTACTATTTCCAGAAGCTCAAGAGGTCTGTATGAATCATGTCACCAAACATGACTATCGCTCAAATGCTTTCTCTAAAGGTTCTTCCTATGCGTTGAATTGCATATACACTGTGGTGATGCAGGAACTTGTCTTTCCAGTGGACTGAAGGATACTTGGCTCTGTTTGCCTTCAGTTCACTCAAGCCTCAGTCTCTCATATCCATTTCCCCCTGCACAACAATTGCAGCATCAGGCCTTCCTCGTCCCTACTATTAGATACCTGATGCATACCCAGTTGTGATTTCCAGGTGAAGATTTTCTCAGTCACTGGCTTTATAGCGTTTTTCTCCACTATGCGTTTTCTGGTGTTTAATGAGATTCGATCTGTCGGTAAAGGCCTTCTGACATTCTGTACAAGCATAAGGTTTCTTTCCTGTATGAATTATCTGATGCATACTTAGTGTGGCTTTCTGGATGAAAGCTTTCCCACATTTACTACATTCATAGTGTCTTTCTCCAGTATGAGACTTCTGATGTATATTGAGGCGTGACTTCCAGGTGAAGGTTTTCCCGCAGTCACTACATTTATAGGGTTTCTCCCTAGTGTGGATTTTCTGATGCGTTATGAGATTTGATCGGTCAGTGAAGGCCTTCCCACATTCAGCACATACATTGGGCTTCTCACCTGTGTGGATTTTCTGATGCACACGGAGTTGTGACTTCTTAGTGAAGCATTTCCCACAGTCGCTGCATTCATAAGGCTTCTCTCCAGTATGGATTCTATGATGCGCAATGAAGTGTGATTTCTGGATAAAGGCCTTCCCGCATTCAGGACAAACGTAGGGTTTCTCTCCTGTATGGATTCTCTGATGCACCCTTAGTGTTGATTTCTGGATAAAGGCTTTCCCGCAGTCCTTGCATTCATAGTGTCTCTCTCCAATATGAGATTTCTGATGTATTTTGAGGCGTGACTTCCATATGAAGGCTTTTCCACAGCCATTGCACTTATAGGGTTTCTCTCCAGAGTGAGTTTTCTGGTGTTTAATGAGATTTGACTGGTCAGTAAAAGCCTTTCCACATTCAGCACACATATAGGGTTTCTCCCCAGTATGAGTTTTCTGATGTGTGGTGAGGTTTGTCCTGTGAGTGAAGACCTTTCCACATTCTGTACATATATAGGGTTTCTCTCCAGTATGAATTCTTTGATGCACATGGAGTTGTGACTTCTTAGTGAAGGATTTCCTGCAGTCGCTGCATTCATACGGCTTTTCTCCAGTGTGAATTCTCTGATGTGTGTTGAAATGTGATTTCTGGATGAAGGCCTTCCCACAGTCAGCGCATACATAAGGTTTCTCTCCTGTGTGGATTCTCTGATGCATCCTGAGTGCTGATTTTCTTGTGAAAGCCTTCCCACATTCATTGCATTCATAGTGTTTCTCTCCAGTATGAGTTTTCTGATGTATACTGAGGTCTGAGTTCTGGGAGAAGCCTTTTCCACATTCACTGCATTCATAAGGTTTTTCTCCTGTATGAATTCTCAGATGTCTAAAGAGGTCTGATCTCTGGATAAAGGCTTTTCCACATTCACTGCATTTGTAGGGTTTCTGGCCGGTATGAATTTTTTGATGTGTAATGAGGCTTGATTTGAAGGTAAAGACTTTTCCACATTGAGTACACAGATAGGGTTTTTCTGCTGTATAAACACTCAGATGTGCATCAACCTGGGGTTTCTGGGGGAAGACTTTGTTGCTCTTGTCACATTCACGGGACTTTTCTCCCGCATGAATTCTTTGATGCTCAAACAGATGTGACTTCTGAGTGAAGCCTGTTACACATTCAGTACACACATAAAGCTTCTCCTCAGGATGAATTTTCTGATGGTGAGTGAGAGCTTGTTTGTGGCTGAGATGTTTTTCACAGTGATCATGTTCACAGGAATTTGCTCCTGTCTTAGCATTCTCATTCTTAGTAGAGGAAGGGCTATGGAGGAAATTGTTACCATTTCCAAAAATCTTGCCAAGGTTCTTTGTTGCACTGTTTCTACTATGATTATGTAAGTTTAAAGTATGCTTCAAAATTGTGTCACAGTTACGGAGTCTTTTAATTGAAGGAACAAACTTGGTAGTCACATGAATTATTTTTTCAATGTTTTTACGTTCATAGCCCCTCTCCTTAATCAATACTTTCACATGACTTAAAAGGTTATTCTGGTTTTCCTGACATCGCTCTAACTGGTCATTATCTTGCCACAGTGCTTCTAAAATAGAACATAATGAATCTTCTCCTATGGGTTGATCAAATCTCTCACAGTGGAAGAAAATTTCTCCAGGAATTCCCTGTTGCTGCATTTTCTCAATAGCCTCACCTAAAAAGAAAAAGAAATGAAAATGACACAAAGAACAATTAGCAGAGGCTACAGGGGACATGTAGTTCAGACAAGATGAACACAGATAAATGGAGGAGCCCACAGAACAATATAGTAGCAATCATGTAGCAACACAACATTTTTATAGAACACTTAATAAATGCAAAACAACTATATACCATTTATGATGCACAGGGACTGTTACAAGTGCTTTACATGAAACAGCTCATTTAATCCTCACTAAACCCTATGAGGTAGCTACGATTATCAATTGTTTTACAATTGAGAAAACAGGCACAGAGAAGTCATGCAGGCCGGGCGCGGTGGCTCAAGCCT